TAGTTGCTTGAGTTCTTAATAAATCAACATCGACTCTGTTTTCTTCTGTATTAATTGAAATTAAACCGAACGTCTGTGCCTCTTTACCTACATATTAGTAACTCTAATGGACTAGCCTTTGTAACCCGATTGACCGTGGAATTGAGTGCCAGTTGAATTTCGCCCAGTGCATCTTGCCAAGAGCGTTGGCTTGTTTCAACTGCCGTTAACAGATTTTTCAACGTACTCATTACTCTTTCTATCTGTCAATTAGCACGACTAGCACCTGTAGCAATCAGATGTAAATTAATATTTTGTGAAGAACAAATATCCCGGAACCCTTTGCTAGCGAAACACCTACCCTGGTCGGCAATTACACGAGTAGGCACACCAAATAGTGAAATTGATGACTTGAGGGACGTAATACAGTTTTCTGTGTCAATATTTATAGTATGATATAAATAATAAACGATAATATATTCCTTAAGGTCATTCTTACCACTCAATTTGCCAGTAATATCGATGTGAACGGTATGCCAAGGAATGCTAACTTTAGGAATTGGGTGCAGTTCTGCTTGTATTTTGCCGGTATGTGATTTGGATAGCTTGCAGGTTATACAATTATCAACAAATTTTCTAACGTACTTAGACATATTATCGAACCAGTAATATTCATAAACCTTGTCAAGTGTCTTCTTTGAACCCAAATGCATAATAGACACATGCACATGATTAATTACGGACCATCTGTGTAGGAACAACTGGTAAACATTTCGTTTTGCCATTTCTTTGTATTTTTCTATACAATGTGCCTGCACGCAGTTCATATGTATTCGCCTCATCTCTGTTAAGTTCTTTATTTCTTAATTTGCAAACAATAGAAGCTACTTCTCGATCCCGTTGTTGCTCTGCAAGGAGACAATCTTCTGAAATTTCTGCAAGATTGACACGCTTTTCAGGAATTCTCGTAACTGGCAGATTATCAGAGGGTAATGGATTACGAGAAAAGAAGTCTGCGTGAGCCATCCGTTTACCTTCTGCATACTCAACCGCAAAATCAAAGGATTGCAGATAGGCCCACCAACGATGGACCCTCGGTATTAAATCGTTTTAGGTACGCGATACTTTGATAGAATTACAATCCGTGATTACAACAAATTGGTGCCCTTGCAGATAATGTCGAAAATATTTAATCGACGGCCAAAGTCTCTAACTCATATGAATGATATCTAGATTCCGCAGGAGAAGTTCTTTTACTATAATATTCGATAACATGTGGCTTAGTGTTAATTTTATGTAACAGAATAGCACCATAGCCATCGGCACTAGCGTCTGTATG